AAAATGAAATGATAGTATAAAATATTAACTGACAAAAGCAGGGCACCAAACTGAATATTCAATATCTCACCTTTGAAAAATCTAGAGCAGATGAATATGTACTGAATTAATAACAGTGGTTCTCTCTGGGAAGGAGAATTATGGATAGCTTTTATTTGTTCTTCATCTTTCCCTATTTCCTAATTTCCTGCAATGAATACAGATTTACAGTCAGAAGAAATGATACAAAACTACATGCTGATTTACAAGGAACAGACTTGGAGGCCCTTCCCTCCTCTCATGTCTTTGTAATGACCTGGTCTGTGTTGATTGATTTTCTCATGGGCAGATCAGGGAGCCCTGCTGCAGCCTGGCAGAACTAAATTGGGTATTGGTCCAGCAGGCCTGGCAGCAGACTCAGGCATTGTCCATCTCTCTCCTTCGCTTTGTTTTCTCTAGAGGGTCCACCTTTTCTGCTCTGATTCTCACAGAAAGTAGAGCATGGGCTCACACTGCAGCCTAGACCTTTGGGGCAGAATGAGGGGAGGTCCTGAGGGGCCCTTATCCAAGCAGACCCCCACCCTGGCATCCAGGTGCTGTTGTTGCACTGGGAGGGCCATGGAGAAAGCATACTCCCCACACATTGACTGCGTTATCTATTTACTCCACAGACCAGCTCTGAAATAGTGTTTGCTTAGTCAGCCAATGAGAAGGCAGCCTCAGGCAGGGAAGCACACAGTCATAAATAGTTGAGAATGGATGCAAAGATGTATGTGCCTGATTGCAAAGCCCTGGAGAAAAGTGTGCTTTACTCCCACTGAACTGATAGAAGCTTAGTGAACTTTTTCTTTCCTGAGGAATGGGCCATAAAAGGACAGTACTTTTCCTCTGCAGTCTGAGGCTGTCATGAAAATGCTGACCTGTGACCTCCTGGATTTTGGAGATACTTCTCTGTTAGAAGCAGGTCCAGCAGTAGTCTGGATGCAGAAGGGTAAACACCCACGGTCCAGATAGACTGGCCTGGAAACACTAGCCCTTGAGACAGAGCCCAGCAGCAGGCACTAGTGGGTAGATGCAGGCAAGCTGGGGGCATTTAGGAGTGAGTCAGGAGCAGCCCACAGTCTCAGGGCTGGAAGTACCATTGGGGGCCTGGCCTCTCCTGCACTGTGTCCAGCACTGCTGAAATTCATTTTTATTGCTATTTCAGGTAAATGTCATACTGGTTCTGCCAGAAGAGACTGCCAATCTCCATTTTGTACAAGCCAGAAGTTGGCAGAGGATATAACTGCAGCTGTGGGGCACAGGACGTGTGGCTGGCTGGGGAGTTGATGGGTTGGTTCCAGACTCCTGTTCCTTTAGTCACTGTGTGGCTCCTGACATGGCACTGGCCATTCCACAGGAGCTGACAGGAAGCTTTCCAGAGACAAGGCCCTGGGAGGCAGTGACAGGAGTCCAGAGCCAAGCTCTTTCCAGGGACAAGGGCTTGGGAGGCAGTGACAGGAGCCCAGGGCTGAGCTCTTTCCAGGGACAAGACCCTGAGAGGCAGTGACAGGAGTCCAGGGCTGAGCTCTTGGCTCAGAGCTGCTCCAGGTGGGCCCAGCTTAAGGTAGGACCTCCATGGACTACAGCTGGCAGACCCCACAGGTCAGGGTGAATAAGCAAAAGCGGTCACTGGTGCAGGGGGTGGTGAGGACAGGCTAAGTCCAGCCTCAGAGGTGGAGGACCTGGGGCGGGGGCAAGTCCCATGGTCAGTCCAACACACAAATGGCAGAGATAGGGCATGTCCAGCCTGTCTTCAGTGACACTGTCCCTGACACTGTCCTTCCTTAGGTGCTCCTTTCTCTGTTCCTGATTAGTTTCACCTCTATCATCCACCCAACCCCGGTAAAAATCTGTGTTCAGGCAAGTGTTTGACATTACCCTGTTCAGGAACACAAGCGGGCTTGTTGGTGGAAAAAGGCTGGGCTACTGTGGTTATTGTCATCTCCCTCTAGGAGATGTTGGCCACAGCCCGCTGTTCTGCAGGGATTTCTATTTCCAGTCTCATGCCTAATTAGATTATGGAAAACTTTGAAGCCTCAGATAGCAGACAGGAAGTTAATTAAGGCATCAGAGCAACAGCAAATTTTTTTTTGAGTGGAGTTTCTTGGTAGTTGAGAAATTACAACAAAAATAACAATATTAAATCATACTTTAATGAATGTTCATCATGAAGCAACACTTTTCCTACATTATCTCATAAACCTTTATTTTACTGATGAGGAAATAGAGTAGGGAGCTTAAACAAAGCAGGATCCCAAAGTCAGTGGAACAGGTGGTGCCAGCCCAGTTGCTGATTCCTTGCTCTCCAGCACTGTACCACCCCAGTGTCTGCAGGCACCTCCTCCCTGCCCCTCTGTTCTCCTTCCTGTGTGAGTAGAAACCGAGGCCTCGCTGTTACTGTCACTGGCTGTGGTACCCATGTAGGGCTGCACTTTTTCACCCAGTCCAACCCCCTCCCCAGCCCCTCTGTGGGTGGCTAGTCAAGCAGCTTTTGCATTTGGCTGATTTAGGTCAAGCAGGGGTGGGAGGGGTACGGTGGCGGGGAGGCAAATGCTGGGGCTCTGGATAAGTTCCTTAGCTCTGAACAAGGGTCCCAGGAGAAGGGCAGCCATTCTCACCTCTAGTGTTTCTATGTCTGGATGTGGCCCCTTCCCAGCCTGGTGGTAATGCCACATTTAGCAGAGGGTAAATACATGAGAAGGCTGTGCTCCAGCCAGCCATGGCCGCCTAGTTATGAGATCTACTCATACTTGCTGTTAGCGCTTTTGGTTGGCTGCGGCTCCCTGCTGAATCACTCTACCTGAGACAGCCCAGGTCGGCATTGAATGTCTTGATAGCTTAATTGATTTAAGTTTGCCTCACTCACTGTGTGATGTGGTTTTTGTTCCAGAATGTGGGCTCAATGATTTCAAGAAATCCTTGTGTGGTCTTCATGCAAACCTTAATTTAAGATCCCCCAGTTGTGTGTAAGGAACTAGATGTTCTGGAGACCTCCTACCTCTGTGAGCTGTGATTCTGGGGTCTAGTGTGGAAAATGCAGGTGGGCCTCTCTCCCTGAGTAAATGCTTTCACAACCAGGTTTGCTTTCGGCAGAGAATAGGATACATGGCATCTAATTTTTTCAGTCTTTGTGAACACTGCACACATGTCTGAAGATCCTAAAGGTCTAGATGCATTTTTATTATTTTATTTTTTAATTTTTTTATTAAAAACTTTTCTTTTACATTTATTTATTTTTGGGAGACACAGAGAGAGCACAAGTGGGGGAGGGGCAAGGAAAGGATGAGACAGAATCTGAAGCAGGCTCCAGGCTCTGAGCTGTCAGCACAGAGCCCAACGCGGGTCTCAAACTCGCAAACTGTGAGATCATAACCTGAGCTAAAGTCGGATGCTTAACCGACTGAGCCTCCCAGGCCCCCGGGTCTAGCTGCATTTTTAAAAATGAAATGAAAAAAAGGGAGGGAAACCCAATGACACATATGCAGTAAAATCGAAGGTGGAATCTGGTGTGAGCTAACAGGCACAGACTGAGACCCATCACCCACCCCTTCATTCACCCTGCTACAGCCCCTCCTGTCCAGGGTGCCCTTTTGATGAATGGTGATGAGAGGTGGCCCTAATGGGATTACTGAAGAAAGGATGAGAATTTCTAGGTGATGGCCATGGCCAGACCCAGAGGAGGAGCCCATTTTAGTTTGTCTTCTCTAAAACTATTTTTCCTAGATGATCACATCATGGTTTCTCTTGGCGAGTTTAATTGCCTGACTACTGATCTTTCAATTGCGAAGTTAGAAATTTCTGGGCTTCTCTCCCCTGGAATGAAATGTTTCATGAATGTCATGAGCACCTCCCTGGGAATGGAGCCCATCATTGCATTGAGCCTTCCTATGGAGGCCTGGCTAAGTTTCAACCAAATCTCTCCCTCCCTAATGTGAATTTATTTAACTTCCCTCTGTTTTTATGAAACACATTTTGGAAGACATTGGAACAAACAAGCTTCACACCTTTGTTGTCTTCTGATGTCAATTTCCCCTGCCTTTGAGTTGCTGAAAATCCAGTCTTTTTTTTTAAAGACTTTTTATTTATTTATTTTGAGAGAGAGAGAGAGAGAGAGAGAGAGAGAGAGAGAGAGAATCTTAAACAGGCTCCATGCCCAGCGCAGAGACTGATGTGGGGCTCAATCTCACGACCATGAGTTTATGACCTGAGCCGAAATTAAGAGTCAGATGCTCAACCTACTGAGCCACCCAGGCACCTGGAAAATCCAGTCTCTCTATCAAGCTCTCATCCCTCTTTATTTATTTTTTTTTAATTTTTTTTTTATAATTTTTTTTCAACGTTTATTTATTTTTTGGGGAAAGAGAGAGACAGAGCATGAACAGGGGAGGGGCAGAGAGAGAGGGAGACACAGAATCGGAAACAGGCTCCAGGCTCTGAGCCATCAGCCCAGAGCCTGATGCGGGGCTCGAACTCACGGACCGCGAGATCGTGACCTGGCTGAAGTCGGACGCTTAACCGACTGCGCCACCCAGGCGCCCCTCTCATCCCTCTTTAAAAGTGTGCCCTGAGAAGAGGCTGTCTTGGGAGTGCAGGATTTGATGGGCACAACCATGTTTACCCTTGGGAAAAGGATCATGGAGTGGTGCTATAGGGTTTTCAGAAAACAGTTCTCCTGGGCTGTCCACTGTGAGGGGGCCAAGAGATCCACAGAGCCAGCTGTGGATGACGGTGTCCTATGTGGCTTCAGACTGAATGTGCCTACATATCTCCCAGGGGTCTCATTAAGGAGCAAATGTGGGTTCAGGAGTTCTGGATGGGGCCCCAGTTTCAGCATTTCTTACCAGCTCCCAGATGAGGACAGTGCTGCTGGGCTGAGGGCCCAGAGCTTGGGCAGAGCAGAAGAGAGGGGCTGCCAGGAGAAGCAGGCAAATGTGGAGTACATGATAATCCACAGACTCCTCTGCTTTCTTTTCGTGCAGAAATAAATCTCATGAGCCCCGTCAAGTGTGAGACATGAGACATGGATCCAACCCAAGATAAATCTCTCTTCAGACAGGCTGTCAGGACTTCAGAATGCAGCACCCCCATATCTGGATGTGAGTTATGTACTGACCTGGGCTGGGATATAGTGGACTCCAAATCTGTGGTCCAGGGCTTGGGGTAAACATGTGGAGTTGCCAAGTGTCCCTGAAGGTTGCTGCATGGGGTTCCCAATAGCAGGGTGAGACGAGTTGCCACGTGTCACTGACTCTGTCTTCCCAAATTCAGAATCCACTTATGCTGGTCTTGTTGGAGTGTGCTTCTAGAATTTGCTTTATACAATGCAATAGTTTTTCAAATGTGACTGTTCAGTTGAATTCTAAAAAATTTGTACACTAATCATAGATCATTCTGAAGTTGGAGGACTTGTGTGTGTGTGTGTGTGTGTGTGTGTGTGTGTATGTGTGAGGAGGGAATGGAGATAAATTTGACAAAAGAGATTTTGTTACATTTCAACTGACCTGAGTTCTGGTTTGTCCAACCTTTGGTCAATTGTCAGCCCATCAACTAATCCACTATGTCATTTCTTCCTCTGTGCACCTGATCTGTGCCCAGACATGCTTCGATTATGGCAACTGATCACTGAGGGTCTGCAGTAGGCCACAGCATTGTGTGATATGAGGTCATCCTCTGGTCATTCCTCCCACTATGACTTGGGGAATTGGAATGGTTCACACTTTATGGATGAAGATATGAAGTTTCAGGGAGGTTGAAGGCTTGGCCACATTATATGGCCTGCAGATGGCACAGGTGACATCAAACTGCCCAGACACCCAGCCTCTTTGGCTGCCACTGAATTCTCATTCTGTAATTGCAGACTTTGTTTTTTTTTTTTTAATTTTAATTCCAGTATAGTTAACACACAGTGTTATATTAGTTTCAGGTGTACAGTACAGTGATTCCTGGTACCCATCATGACAAGTACACTTTTTAATCCCCATCACCTATTTAACCCCTCCTCCCCACTTCCCCTCTGGTAGTCATCAGTTTGTTTCTTGGTTTGTCTCTCTTATTTCTTCCCCTTTGCTTGTTTGTTTTGTTTTTCAAATTCTACATATGAGTGAATTCATATATTTGTCGTTCTTGGACTTACTTCACTTACCATTATACCCTCTAGCTCCATCCATGTTGTTGTAAATGGCAAGACTTTGTTCTTTTTTATGGCTGAATAGTATTTCCTTATATATATCACTTCTTCCTTATCCATTCATCTAATACTTGGGCTGCATCCATAATTTGGCTATTGTAAATAATGCTGCAATTAACATAGGGGTGCATGCATTCCTGTGAATTAACATTTTTGTATTTTTTGGGTAAATATTCAGTAGTGCAATTACCAGATCTTAGGGTAGTTCTATTTTTATTTTATTTTTTTGAGAAATCTCTATACTGTTTTCCAGAGTGGCTGCACCAGTTTGCATTCCTACTAACAGTGCAAGAGAGTTCTCCTTTCTCTACATCTTCACCAACACCTGTTGTTTCTTGTGTTGTTGATTTTAGCCATTCTAACAAGTATGAAGTGATATCTCATTGTAGTTTTGATTTGCATTTCCCTGATGATGAGTGATGTTGAGCATCATTTTATGTGTTTGTTAGCCATCTGGATGTCTTCTTTGGAGAAATGTCTGTTCATGTCTTCTGCCCATTTTTAAATTGGATTATTTGCTTTTTGGGTGTTGAGTTTGATAAGTTCTTTATATATTTTGGATACTAACCATTTATTGGATATGTCATTTGCAAATATTTTCTCCCATTCTGTTGGTTGTCTTTTGGTTTTTTTGATGGTTTCCTTCACTGTGCAAAAGCTTTTTATTTTGATGAAGTCCCAATAGCTTATTTTTGCTTTTATCCCCCTTGCCTCAAGAGACATATTTAGAAAAATGTTGCTATGACCAATGTCAGAGAAATTACTGTCTGTGCCCTCTTCTAGGAATTTTATGGTTTTCTGTTTCACATTTATATCTCTAATCAACTTTGAATTTTTTTTTGTGTATGGTGTAAGAAAGTGGTCCAGTTTCATTCTTTTGCATGTTGCTGTTCAGTTGTCCCAACACCATTTGTCGAAGAGACTGTTCTTTTCCCACTGGATATTTTTTCCTACTTTGTCAAAGACTAATTGACCATATGGTTGTGGGTTCATTTCTGGTTTTTCTGTTCTGCTCTATTGATCTATGTGTCTGTTTTTGTGCCAGTACCATAATGTCTTGATGACTACAGCTTTGTAATACACCTTGAAGTCCAGAATTGTGATGCCTCCTTGCTTTGCTTTTTTTATTCAGAATCATGCTTATTTATTTAGTTATATCCAAGTCAGTTAACACATAGTATAGTAATCATTTCAGGAGTAGAATTTAGTGATTTATCACTTACATATTACAGTGCTCATTCCAACAAGTGACCTCCCAGTACCCATCACCCATTTAGCTGACCCCCCCCCCCCACCCAACTCCCCTCCAGCAACCCTCAGTTTGTTATCTGTATTTAAGAGTCTCTAATGGTTTGCCTCCCTCTCTGTTTTTATCTTATTTTTTCTTCCTTTCCCCTATGTTCTCTAGGGCTGACTCCTCCTCTGAGCCTCCATGGATTTTCTCCAGGAAGAGACCCTGCCTTCCCAAGGGCTGTGAGTATTTTAATATTCCCTGTCCTGAGCATGGTACATGGAATATAGTGGGATCTCAGTAAGTTATTATTGTCCAAGTGTGGAAAAGAGTGACAAAGTTTATAGTTACAAAGACATTGAATGGCCAAACCAATTTTGAAAAAGAAAAGCAGGTGCTTTGATGGTCTGTTCCATACTTGGACACTTACTCAACTTCATTTGTTAATAAAAATTTACTGAGATCTTGCTATATTCCATGTACCATGCTAAGGACAGGGAATATTACAATAGTCATAGCTGTTGGGATGGCACATAGATGCACTGAGCATCAGTATATCAGGGTCCCTACCTGGAGCAAGATTCAATGGAGGCTCAGAGGAGAGGTCAGCCCAGCCAGGGGTCAGGGATCTGGAAGTCAGAGAAGATGTTGGTCCTGCAAGGTGCTCAGGAAGCCAGAGGAGGGGCTGCCTCTGTCAGGGGTCAGAGGTCTTTACAGAGGAGTTTGCCCCCTGCACGTGTCAGGGAGGACATACTGGGCAAATAAACTTAGTGTGCCACAGTGTGGAACATGGTTCCTGGTGTTCTTCTCCATGTGTACATAAATCTTGTCTTCTCAGAGGGTCACAGTCTCCCTGAAGACTGGTCTCTGTTTCACTTTTCTCTGTTCATGGCTGGCCTGCAGAATGGGCTGTGACAATAAAGCAGAGCTGAAGGAAAACCTCTATTGTCTGAGGCTTGCATATCCCAGCTACTCGAGGCAGATAAAATAAAATGATACCATTTTGAGGGGACAATTATATTAGCTAGGATTTAATAATAGCCTTTTTACAATGCTAGCAAGTGTGAAAGGAGACACAAATGGATAAAGTGGATGTCAGGACCAACTTTCAAGAAAGCACTTTTTCACTTGGTTAACATTTATATATATATATTTTGATTTGATTATTCTGATTTTAGGAATCTGTTTTAAGAAACAGTAAGAAACTCAAAGCCACAGCAGAAACTTCCTGGTGTTGCTCAGAACCGTAGAGCTGGAGTTTGGGGGTGGTTGTACAGGAGAGCTGAGGAGGGGTTTGGTGAGAGCTCTGTGACTAGTCATGAACACTGTGGGAGTTTGGAATAGCAGGGACATGCTTATGAATTGACGGTAATTGAGAAAAGGCCAATACAGAAACATGTGGTGTCATTGCAGCAAGTAAAATTGTATACAGACAGAAAGAAACACACTGGAGTATGACTAATGGTTAGCTTTGAGAGAGATACTTATAGCTGACTTAGTTTATTTCTCTGTAATTTATAAAACGGTCTGCTGTAAACCTTTGACAATTGTGTAGTAAAGACCTCATTACAAATAATTGAGACAACACAATTTTGGTTGAAGGAATGTGCAAAAGCATGTGGGGTGTATTTGTTTCCTATGGTCACCGTAACAAATTACCACAAATTTAGCAGCATAAAACACCACAAACTTACTATCTTCTCGTTCTGGAGTATAGACATCTGAAATGGGCTAATATCAAGGTGTTAACAGGATGCATTCCCTCCAGAATCTCTAGGGGAAAACTTGCTTCCTTGCCTTTTTCAACTTCTACAGACTGCCTGCCTTCCTTGATTTATGGCCAGTCACTTCAAGCTCTGCCTCCTCCATGTGTCCCCTTCTCTGGTTCTGCTATTCTGCCTCCATCTTATAAAAACTCTGTGATTGCCTGAGCACATCTGGATAATCCAGGATGATATCCCCCATCCCCAGATCCTACATGTAATCACATCTGTAAAGTGCTTTTTACTGCATAAGGTAACATGGTCACCGGTTCTGGAGATTAGGGCATGGGCATCTTTTGGGAGCCATTACTCTGCCTACCAGAAGGGGCAATTTACCATGGGGGTTTGAGAGTGCCATGGCTGGTACTGGGGAACCTGCCTAGCACATCACCACCACCTTGCAGAAGTGTTCTCTAAAGTTCTTAGCAAATCCAGTGTAAGAGCTTGAGAAACAGAAATTGATCACCTGTCTGATGTTGTCCAGGTGGATCCTTCTTGGTAAATGCAGCACCCACAGAGACCTCTGGTGGGGTTCAGTGGTGGAGGTCTGGGTATCTGAGTTCCTGGAATTTCAACTGACAATCCACGTCACAGAGAAAAGTGAGGGGAAGCAAGTTTGGGGGTGTGTATGCAGAAGAGGATTTGACCATGCCCTGAGACAACTTTGTGGAGAAGTATAGGAAACTGGGGCCAAGAGTTGTATTCCAGAGCCCCAAAAGGCAGGCAGAATTATGGGCAGTGGAAGAAAAAACCATTGCATCTGTACAGTGCTTCACCTTCTACAGCATGTTTTCTTGAATTGTTTTACTTCATTTATTCTTTCATGCATTAATTCAGCACATTTTTGGGAGTGGCTATTGTGACAAAGGGACTAAAGATGGTGCCTTGCCACACATAGTCCCTGTTCCT